AACATTTTCCTCAAAGGTCACTTCATTTTAGCCTAAAAAATGAACCAAATGATGATGATTGAAATTAAGAGTTTAAATTTAAGGAGACTTACCTTGCAGCTAGAATTTATGTTTTGAGCTTGAGGTGTTGCCTTGTGGACTGTTATGACCTTTTTCAGTTATGAGGTTTTTTGAGAGTTTGTCAACAAAAATTCTGGTTTTCTTTCTATTTTTTATCCTTCTCTCTCTCTTTTTTCTAACTCCTTTTCTCTTGCAATTGGCCTCCCTATTTATAGAGAAGGTTTGAGACTTCAAACAACACAGATTTTTGAATCACATGTTATGGTTATCTTGCTTGTTTTTTGAAGCAAACATGAAAGACATGTTTCCAATGCTTGTACCAAGATATGTAAAGTGGTTGATCACTTTAAACATGTTTGTTCTGACTTGTAGAAGTTGAGTGTGATTAGAACAACAAGTTAGAGGCTCAAGAAATTGACTTTATGATTAAAGTGAACTTTGCAAGAATGGCAATGGTGCCTTTGTGCCAAAAATGGAAAAATGTAATGGACAATACTTGAACCACTTGGATAATGGTTCAATCAATTGTGTAAACATCTGATTATGGATAGATTTGCAAGTCAAGAGGCATGTAAAGTGAAGATTATGCAGCATGGTTAAGATTTTTTGTTCCTTGTTCACCACAAATCTGCCTTGTAAATCAAGAATGAATGTCCAACTTTAGATCCTTGTATCTCCTAGCTCAAATATGATAAATTCATGCTCTTAGATGTTTTGGAAAGCTTGAAACACCCTCTATAACTTTCCTGTTGGCCATTTTGATAAAATCATCTTGGAACTATGTGAAAAAATTCCAAGAAGTTGGGATAAAATCCTGAACAAAATCTGTTGAAAATTTCTCTAAGTGTTAAATGAAAATGTCATGACTTCATGAATTTATAACTTGAGATCCAAGCATATTTAAGAGAAGTTGTGTAAAGCAATATTGTAGATATCATGGATATCTACAACTTTCATGTTGAAAGTTTCCCCTGAACCGTCTTGCATCTTGGTGAAAGAATGGCATGAAGTGATGAAATTATCATGTATAAAAACACTTAGAAAATTTCTAAGTCTTGGAAATCGACTTTTCAAGTTGACTTTTGACTTTCTTGACTTCTTGATGATTAAGCTTGATATTCTTGAGTGTATTGATGAAATTTGATCTTTGGGATGTAATGTTGACCAAAAAGTCAAAGTTTGACTTTCCAGTATACAATTGACCATTTTGCCCTTGTGCCAATTTCAAGCCTAAATTGATGTATCAGTGCTGCAAACTTGACGTCGTAGAAGATCTTGTGAAAAAATACTTGATAAATGAGAGGGAAAATTTTGGGGTACAACACATATCTATAACTCAGTTTGGACATCAATAGGAGGATAATGTCTTAGATGTTAGCATAATACATTATCAATAGGAGGATAACCCAGTTTGGACATCAATGGAGATAAACACATTTTCAAGAAAGAACCTACCTTGAGAACCGGCCGGTGTGGGTGGAGGACAATCGAGAGAGACGGTGGAGGACCGAGGGAAAGGGCTGGTTGGACAACGACGAAAATAGTTTCTATTCGTGAGAATGAGAGGGAAAGGGTTTATGTTCGTGTTCTTAAGTCTGTGAAAAGAGAAACAATACACTTATTCTATTTTTTAATTTTCATTTATATGGCTTTAGACAACGCTTTTTAGAAGCGCTGACTAATATGGGCCTTTAGCAGCGCTTTTGAAAAACGCTGTCTAATAGGATCCTTTAGCAGCGCTTTTCAGATTTTTTAAATAAATTTTATATGACTTTAGACAATGCTTTTTGAAAGCGCTGTCTAAAGTGGTCCTTTAACAGCGTTTTTGATAAAGCGATTTCTAAAGCAACACTTTTAGCAGCGGTTTTTAAAAGCGCTGTCTAAGGTCACATTTTTAGCAACGCTTTTACTTATTATTGTATACAGTTTCCGTGTTTTTTTTAAATTCACTTATAGCAGCGCTTTTGTATAAAAGTGATGTCTAATGTGCGTTGTTAAAAGCCATTTTTGGCGTAGTGTTGGTAGATGGAATGTCTGTGTCTCGGGTCTACACCTTTCCAATATTGCAAGTATAAATTTGGAATCAATCGTGCAGTTTGAGATTTTTATAATATTTCCAAAACCGACATATTCGAGATGGGGCATGATCAACGGGTCGAGAGTAATGTAGTTGTGTGAGCGAATTCTAAATCTTTTCGTATTATAAATTCAAAATATAAATAGTGTAAGAGTTCATAAGATAACTAATTTAATAATAATTTTTATATTAATATAAAAGAATATTTAATAGTTTATAGAAACTTACAAACGCCGTAATGTTGTCTCTTGTGCATCTGTGAAAATCTCTCACTGTGAGAAAAGCCATATTTGAAATTGTATAAGATAATGGAAGAGTTTGTATTAGAGAGTGTGATGATTGGTGATGCAAAACAAGGGTCTCAAGCGCCATATTATAGGCGGACTCGTATAAGAGTGAATTAATGAGGTGGTTGGTTGTTGCATGCATGCATTTTAGAGAGCATGCGCCAGTCAACTTGGCGTGGGACAAGCCTACATGTAGAGTAGGTGGCAACATAGGTGCAGTGTAAGATGGCAGCATATGGACAATCTTTTACGCATACATGTAAGGTGATAGGACATGTAGGGATGCGCCATCCCAGATGGCGCATAAGAACAAAATTGATAGATGTCGCCATCTTAATTTGCGAATTAGTGGTGGAGCATTTTTGTATTGTTTAAGTTTAGTGAAACCTATTTATCTTACATGCATCTAATGTTATCAACACTCAAACATTCAAACATTCAAATATTCAAACACCAAACACAATGTCCTCTACACCATAATACATTATCATTGCACATTTCAATGGTGAGACGTACATTTGTCCCACCTCTGGTTTTTCATTTAGAGACACTGATAACATCAGATTTGTTTAAACAGAAAAGACAATTCCTTGTATTTCAAAAAACGATTAAAGGTCAAACTTGGACGAGGTCCAGTGACACACATCTTCTATCAAAATTCAATTTTTTAGTGAGAACTAAATAATATTTTATAAGGTAGAAGTTCAAGATGACGAGGACCTTCAAAATATGTTTTTCAGTCATGAGTATTTTGGATACGACTCAATTGAGTTGTACATTGTACTGTAGGAGCCTTAGTTGTCATTGCCAACTCAGTCATAAGTGGTTGATCTTCTCAAAGGCGAACAAGCAGAAGTATATGTCGTTGACGAAGAAGAGGAAGATGAAGAGTTAGAGTTTGACAACATGGTCAACGATGATTCTGAAGACGATGCGCTACCTGAAATACCTCCGAAAATCTACACACCACTTTCACACATGACAAACTTCAACATGGACAAAGATGAACCGTCATCAGATGTTTTTTTCAACCCGTATATGTAGTCGGATGAAAATAGTATGGCACAACGATCAAATGCAAAGGAATAAAAAGGGCCATTCCAAAAGAAAGCGTATCACAACTGAAATGGACTCCATTGACAAGCTAGAAAGAATGTGTGGTTTATGTCGCCAGGTCGGACACAATCTAAAAAATAGTCTCACTCGTGTTACAAGCTCGACAACATAAAAATTGTATGCAAACCATCTGGACTTTTTTAAGTTCTAAACGCAACTTTTTTTCATTAAGAGCATTTGTTACAACAAATCACACGCAAACAACAAATAAAAACACGATAAAACATCTAAGAAATTACAACCGTCAAAACAATTTCATCTGAGCCATGCATCATCACCATTACGTCTCTGTCTGTTTTGACTTTCTCCAACCAAGACCGAGTTCTTCTAGTTGCAAGTGAGGTGATTGTTCTTCTTATCTGGATCCTTCTAATTTGTTTCCCAGCCTCGATGTCTCCCTCTAGCCATCACATCAACTATCTCTTCAGACGATCCATGAAGTGAATGTGCCAAAATTTGTTTTCCAGCCTCGATGTCATGATGCAAATAACAGAGAGAAAATAAGAAGAGAATGTGAGAAAATGTGAAGAATGATGGAGAAATGAGTGTTTTATTTATAGAAAACAAAAATGCACGTAGTAGCCATCTCATATGGCGCTTCCTCCCCTTTTTATAGAGCATGCGCCGTCTCACATGACTAAAACAAAGTGCATGTGCCAAGTGAGATTGCACCTAAGATAAAAAACTTATTGCACGCGTCAAGTGAGATAACACCTCAATTGTTGTATTTTATGAAACATGATTATTTGCGTAATTTTTTTTAAAACATGACTATTTGTGTATTTTTTTTTCAATATCTGATTATTACTAAAAAAAATTTTAAAATCGATTCACTATATAGATTAGAATTAATTGACTAAATAAAAAAATTATTAATTATTATTTAAAGTTTTTATTTTTTATTTTTTAAATTAATTAACTACTTAAGTTGATTTAGGAGTATGGAGACCCATGTTTTAATAGCGAGGGTTAATAATTTAGAGAGAGAAGTTAGTAATTAATTGAGTTGATTTTTTTATTAATTTATTATTTATTTAATTAACTTATTATTATTTTTTAATTAATTATATTTCCATTATTTATTTAATTAAAGATTTTGGCTGGAAATTTAGGTGGAACAATTTCTAGTTTCTAGAATTATAATAATTTAGTATAATTATTTATTTTTTTAATTTTTAATAAGTTTTTGTAATTATTGAATAAATTAAATGGTTAAAAGGTAGGAGTATATACTAGTATAAGATTGAGGGAGGAGATAGAGAGAATTATAGTAGATGCATAGAATCTAAGGGATGAAGCGGTAAAGTACAAGTTCAGCGAACAGAGAGAGAGTCATACACACCGCTTCAGAAACCCAACCCAACACTCTCCACCAATAGCATCGCATTAAATTAAATACTCTATCGCTATAACACCGGTCGATTCCATGGATTCTTCGTCTCTTCATTGAAACGTTAACAATGCCTGAGATCCAGAGTTGTTCCTCACTGTCAGAATCATCAAATGTAAGACCCAACATTAGGTCTAATTTCGATGCTTCCGATACGACGTCGTGTAGTTCTTCACAATTTCAAAAACCTAAACCTAAAACTAAGGGAATACTCTGCAAACGACGGAACCCTAGAGTCACTCTTCGCCGCACAAGGGTTAATAATCTTGCCGCCATTGGTTTTCCTCTCGGAATGTCGTTCGCCGCTGTTATGGCTCAGGTAAAGAAACTCGTTAAAGCTCGTTTTTTTTTTTAATGGATTGATTTGCTGTTAAAAAGATTGATGTTTTCAATCAAATTGTATTGGTTTGCTGTTAAAAAAAAGATTTTTTCAATGGATTGGTTTTGTAACATTGAATTTTTTAGTTGAAATCACGTTGATAGTAAAACAAAAAATCGTTTTGGAGCTTCAAATTAGAATCAATTTTGGTTGCAAAATCAGTTCTAACCGACATTACTCAAAAATGTCAAACCCAATTTTAGGTGTCTGGAATCACCTTTGGCTCTCGCTAATGTGAAGCCCGGACACACTAAAACAATCAATTCTAGTAAGTTTTATTTTATTTTAATTTGTACAGTATTTATTTATCCTGGTCATGAAAAGCTTTTCTTTTTTTGTTTTTAGGTGTTGTATAGAAGAGATGCTGCAGCTGATAGTATGTCTCCCAGTCATCTTTCGTCGGTAATTTTGTTAACTGCTTTTAACAATTTTGTTTCTGGCTTGTGCACATTCATACTCACAATGAATTTAGGGAAAGTCACACATGAGAGTTTTTGGGCTATCTTTATATGCATCTATGTCATTTGCTGTAATTCGATTCAACTTTTGATTTGAGTGTTGACTGTTCTACTGGTTGTCTGCCTTGTAGATGTGCACCTCTGCGATCAATGAATCTTTATCCAGTGTAAGCCAGACATCAACTGTTAATTCATCCCTTGATTGTGATTTTACTACATTTCTCTGAGAGCTTTCTTGTTGATAAAGTCCATCATGTTAAAGTGATGTCCGTGTGATGTGACACTTGTTTTAATTTTTGCCTATCCCGCCATAGGTATTTGGAGACAAGCTAGATGGTTTGACAAAGAACTTTGAACAATCTTTTGATAGCACTTTGAGTACTCTTCGATTAATTTATGAATCAACGGCTAGCAACGAAGGGAATAAATTGAATAACATGAGGCTGGAAAATCCTAATTCTAAATTGAATAGAGAAGATTGCTCACGTGATATTGTTATAGAGGATTGTCAAGCAGGACCACAGTCACACACACATGCTGAAATCATAAATCAATCAATTAGTAATGAAGAGGTCAGGGATAATTTTCACATGGAGTCAGTTACTCGTGATCTTGCTTTGCATGGGCAATCAAACCAAATGGTTTGTTATTCTCCAACCTTTTCTGGAGCTGTAGTTAATAATTCAGTGATTAGTACATTTGAGAAGTCTGTTGTAGAGCAATGCCGTTCTAATGACCTCAAGACTGTTGAAATTGGTCTTACAAGGCAAAATTTGAAACTCCAAGAGATAGATTTGGCTCTCCGCTACGATTTAAATGATCTGGAGCGATCCAAGTTAGCTATGGAAGTGTCGAAGTCATCTTTCGAAACTGAAAAGTTTAAGAATCAGTTAGAAGATTCCAGATATGGTGAACTGAATAAGAAGTGCATAGACTGTCTTATTGCTGGTCTATTCATTATGTCAGCCTCACTTTTTTATGGTGCTTATGTTTATAACTATGAACGGTTTATTGAGGCTGCTGAATTGTGTGCTCCAGAAGAGGCAAGTATAGTATTTTTCTTTTCCATGCTCCAATTTTATGCTATGGTTGATGCAGTTATAATATTTTCGTAATTGCATGATGAAAAATAACTAATAGAGGATGCATCGATAAAATTTTATTTAGAAAACAAATTATATTTGAAAGATACAAATAATTAATATGGGTTGGATCATTAAAATATTATTTAGAAAAGAAATTGTTTTTGTTTATAGGTTTTGTTTCCTTGTTTAGTTTTACGTTTTTCAAGTATATGATCAAATATTCTACTTATCATATTCACTTCCTTTGCAATCTACTTTAAGAACTAAGGTGCAGATTATGTAAAATAGGATGTCATTATGACAGCTCTTTTCAGCACCGTCTTTACTCATTTTGGAGATATTTATGGTGTTTTTTTTCTTCTTTCTATCTACTTCAGGAATCTTACTCCTGGTTTACTCCAAAGTCAGTAGCCTGGTTCAATTCAAGTGTGCATGTTTTTATTTGTCGAGTTGGAGTTGTAAGCCGAATGGTGTTTGGTTTCCTAATGATTATTGTAGTTGCATATTTGCTCTTCCAGCGGGCATCAACATTGTCATCACAAACTATGCCAGTTACTTTCATCCTTTTGATGCTATGTATTGGCTGCGGTTACTGTGGAAAACTGTGTATAGACACATTGGGAGGGAGTGGTAATGTTTGGCTCTTATATTGGGAGATTCTTTGTTTGCTGCATTTCGTATCTATATGCTGGACATCTGCTTTGTATCGAATCCTTCATGGACCAATAGAAGTAACGCAAACAAAGAAAGGTAATACAATATTTCGGTATTGGATTCGTCGGTTGCTGTTCTATGTTATTATGCTTGTTGTTCTGCCCTTGTGCTGTGGTCTCATGCCTTTTGCTAGCTTAGATCAATGGACAGACCATTTTATGTCGAAGGTGGTTGATCACCGCTGATCAGAATGATAAAAACACTTTCTGGTCATGTAAACTACATATTTTTGTGTAAAACCATGAGCAACTTAGCTTGTGGTAAGCCAACTTACAAAGCCCCATCAATTGTATTTGATAACGTTGAAAGTTACACTATTATTGATGTATTATTGTGCACCACCTTCTTTTTTAATAATATATCAGCTTTTATTTATTATTCATTGTTACTAAAACCCCTCCTTTTAAGTACATAGTTTGAGAGTTTTGGTTTCTTAAGTGTTTCAAGTTCAATGATCTTGAATGTGACCACTTTATCAGTTGATAATGGATTTTAGTTTATAAATAAGTCTTTGGTTCTCAAGTTTGCTCTTACTCTTTATTATTTAGAATATACACTATAGGACAGTGACGCAATGATTTAACAATGGCCGGATGTAAATTGTAATTTCTATCTTCTGCATTTGGTTTATTGTTTTTTTTTTTTTTCCGTTACCCGAAACACAGAAACAATGAAAATTAATCTAACATTAGCTATCAGAGCCAGCAATACTGTCTTGAGTTTTTTCATATTGATTCTTCTATTTTCGGTATTTTCTGATTTATTTTTGGATTGAGTTTTCTTTGTTTTAAAATTATTTAAAATGCATAAAATGATATATGTAATTCATGGAATGAACTGTGTTGAAGAAAATACTAAACTGTGATTCCAGGACCCTTCATTGTCTAGAGAATGCGTTCTACCTAATGTATCATACACTGATATTTGATTAATTTGTGCTGTTACCTATATATAGCAAGAAAAATATCCGTGTCGGAACACGGAATAAACCGAGTTTGATGTAAATATCTTTTTATCTTAAATATTTTTAAAATAAATTAAATAATATATTTGATTAATTAAGTAAAATTAACACTGTTTATGTTTTTTTTTTTAAATCAGAGGAGAACTTTTTTATTTTAAAAAAGAAGTACAACCAATTCAAAGGGATTAGGTGACATGTGACATTAGGGGTGATAAAACGGACTGTTTTGTCCCGCTTTAAGTTTGTCAAAAAAGAAACGGGACAGTCCCGCTTTAAGTTTGTCAAAAAAGAAACGGAGCAGGATAAGTGAAATTGAGATTTAAAATGAATTTTTTTTATTACATTCTATATGGGTGAAAGATACTATGAAAATTTCATTTTGCCCTTCCGTTTTTAAAAGTATATTTTCGAATGCACCCTTTTGAATCACACAAACGTGAGAAAATGTGATGCCACCCTATAGTATAAGTAATACATTTTTTGGAGCTATATATCCGGAATTATGTTATAATTAATTGCTTCATAACCAATATAGAAGAATATTCAGAGATGTATTTCTGGTATATTTGTGTAGGAAATTGGTATTCTGTTACCTTTGCATGTCATATATTTTTAGAGATGTATATCCGAAAAAAATCAAAAGTCAAATTGTTAAAAATAACAATTCCCATGATCACCTTCATTTGTAACATTTTTCTTAAACCCTCTCTAAAAACTCTTTCATTCTCAATCAAAATTTTCACTCCAAATCTTCATTCTTGTGTTCCATCATATCAAAAGTTGCTAAAGGAAGTAAAATTTAAGGTCAAGTTTATTCATTTCAATCCCCATTCCTCACATTAATCTAATTTTTAAACAAAAAAGGTCACACTTTTATCGGAAGTACATTTCCAGATTCTCAATGAACTCGTCGAGAGATACATTTTCAACAATTTCCCGTGCTAATTTTTCAGCAATTTTATTCGTGTTATGAATGTTTCTTAGTTTATATGATTTTGTTTATATTAGGTATGAGGCATCCCGATGCTATCCCCAAATATATTGTGTCTCAAGATGTTTTACATGTCCTAACAAAGGTGGTAGATATCCAGAACCATTTTAAAAATGAACAAGAGTATAAGTGAGTTTGGTGAACACTTCAAGCACTTTGAAAGAGTTTGTTATGATATTTATTTATTTGTTAAGTATGTGAATGAAACATGGTTAACACCTTATAAAGAAATATTTGTTGCTGCAAGGACTAACATAGTAACTTATTTAAGGAACACAACAACAAACAGGTACACGGATCTTGACAGTTTGATGTTATTATTATTTATGTTTCAAAAACAGTTTGAAACATGTTTTTTTATTTATGGATTTTAGGGTGGAGTCTGCTCATTGGAGACTAAAAAACATGTTGACTTCAAGTCAGAGTTATTTATGTCAAAGCTGAGATGCTATGAACACCATGTTGAAGTTACAGCTAGGTCCAATCAAAGTGTCATTTAAAAAAAGTATTGTCTATATTGAGCATCAGTATAACCTTCATTCTATACCAAGTTGCACGGTTTTGTCTCAAGATAATGTATACAACTTATTGGAAAGGAACTAGAAAGGGTGGAATTTGTTGGTTCAAGTTAAGATAGATGTGGTTGCTTCATTAGAATAACACATGAGTTATTGTGTGCATGTTAGCTTGCCTATTTCCAAATTCTAGGCAACCATGTTCCTTTAGACTCAATTAATGTATTCTGGATAAAATTTCACATTGCAGAACATGATGAGAGTAGTGCAAAGTGGGATTTAGAAGAAGAGTGTGAAGAGATATTTCAGTACGTTGGATATTGGAGGTCAGAGGGTGTTGAAGAAAATATTTCGTGATCTAACATATCTATCCACAACTTCAATGTGTCCACCGCTGGTGAAGTACAAGCCAAAGGGAGGAATTAAGAAGAGTAGAAAGGGTCAAGAGAGTGATGTGCATCATGATCCTAGCCAGTGGGAGTATGCGGAGGCTTCACAGGGGAGTCAAACTACAAAGAGATCATGCACAAAACCAACTGGAAGTAAATCATAAAGTATGTTGATTAGTAGTCAACCATTCACTAAATCTTCAAGAGATCTTTACTTGTCACAATTTCCTACTTTCTTACATCCATACATCGATGACATTATTGATGTTGGTGACGATGGAAATTGTGGTTTCCGTTGTATTTCATCTTTATTAGGATGAGACGAATAGTTATAGCTTTTGATTCAGACACAATCATATACTCAAGTTTATCAATACTCTCAGTTGTTTTCCAAGTTGTTCTACGACATTGTCTCTACAATTAAGAATGTGTTACGAGTAGAACACTTGGGTGTGTAGGATAGGGAAAAATAGATGACAATTCTTAATATAGGTTACCCAATTGCTTCTAGATACAATGTCGTATTTGTTTCCATTTCCATGAGACTTAACATCATATTTTTTCCTCTTTCCTTAGTATCACCTATGTATACGAGCGGTCATATAACCATTGTTGTTGATTTTGTCAACAAGAATCATTGGATAAAGGTAAAGTTGAAACCTGATTGTCCATTGCCTACCGTCACTAACTGTGGAGACATAATTGTACTGATGATGCAAAAACATATGAGTTAGCATATGTGAGTCACTTTAGACACTAGGAAGACCTGTGTAGAAAGTCATTGTAGTTTGTTTTTATTTATATATGTATGACAATTATTATATATATATATATATATATATATATATATATTAAGTCGGATAAACATTTTAACGATTCAAGGAAAAGAAATGGAAAAGGGGAAAAAATAAACTGCAGGATTACCAGAAATTTCAAATTTCTGGGAATTTTTGGATTTTACCAGAAATTTCAAATTTCCGATATATTTTAACTATTCATCAGAAATTTGAAATTTCTGGTACTGAAAATTTCAAAATTCTGGTAAACCCCACTACAGACTAGGTAAAACTCAATAATTTTAATGAAATTTCTGGTGGCATTCGAAATTTTCAGTGTGTATTAGGACATTTCAAAATTTACGGTATTATCGTAAGGGCATTAACGTAAAAGTGCCAAAAATAGAGGGGGGATTTCAGGTATAATTGTAGGGGTGGCAGGTTAAATCCTCCATCAACAAGAGTTTCAAAAATACAGTTCAAGTATTAACTTTCAACCAACCAAAATAAGTATTTTTAACAAAATAAAAAACATAATAAATATTAAATACAACATCAAAGTTTAGTGATTCAAATTACATTATACTGTCTAACAAAACAAGAGTGAAACATTTTAAAATCTAAATCCTAATCATCAAGGTCAATAATATTAGATGCACTCTTAAAATCAAATCCTAATATTAGATACACCGAAGTTTTGTTTTTTTTCTTCTGTATTTAACATTTTTTTTAAAATTAAGTGGGCTTGGCGGGCCAACCCTCCCCGTTATGTCTTTACCTCACGAGATTTTTTTTGGGAGATAGGTTGAACGGGTAGGCAGACTCAAAATCTCAATCCAATTCGCTATTTTTTAGCGGATGAGCGGGCCGACCCGTACGGGCCACAACCCATTTTGACACCCCTATGTAACATCCAATATTCCTAGTCTTGTACACTATTTTATCCATAGAGTAGTAACATTTACATAAGTATTTGGTTTGTGGACTACTTAAGGCATCATAAAGATTACTACCCATTTTTGTGAAAATTAAAAAATACTCATAAATTTCATAAATTTTAGGGATATATTTTTAGACGCATCTCAATACATGCGTAAGTAAATTACACATTCGTTTTATAAAAAAATAAAAAATATACTTCCGAAATTCAAAAATAAATTTTTAGTAAAATCTTGTTTTCATTACTAGCCAACCCATATACTAGCCCAAAAATACATCTTAGTAAAATCCCGTGTCACCCGTGTTGACCCTCTATCTTGGTTCTCAGAATTTCTTGCTCCCAGGCCTACTGACACGGGTACCCGTGTCAACCTTCTGTTTTTGTCCTCTCGTGCTCTTCATCTGCACACCCTGACACGGGCCGTGTCAAGAAACACGTGCACCCGTGTTAGGATTTTGTTCTTGCACTTTTAACTACCACAGAATGTCCTCCAGCTTCGCATCAGTTACTCAGATTTGCTCGCGTGTATCTGAGACATTAACACTACCAAACCAAGCATCAAAAGCACCCTAATTGACATGCATTCCCAAATCAATGCAATGCAAAACAA